TATGAAATGAACAGGGCTGATGGAAATATAACACCTGACGTTCTAGAACATTTATCTCAAAGAACTACACAGAACCATAGAGATGGTATATTTGGTGAAGAGTTTAGAAAGAAAGTTAGGGAGAGAGAAGGAAGAGAACCTATTGTACATGACCTTGCAAACGAAAGTTTGCAAAATGTCATAAAAACTTACTTGCAGACAATGAACTGAGAAGGGATGAATATTTAAGAAAACTCAAATGGACAGTACCAAATGAAATGTTAGTATTGAAAAACATGTTCCATGACAAAATAAAACCAACTACAGAAATAAATGACGCAAGACTGAAGCGTTGGGTAAAAGCTTTCCCATTCACAAAAGATATTATTGGTAACATGGAAAGAAAACCAGAATGGCTACAAAAACATATATTTGGAAACGAGCTTATTCCATATGGACAAGCTCTGTTTGAAGAGCTTGAACCGGAAACTCAGGAAAGAGTCATGCAAACAATAGCGAAGACTCAAATACAAACTATGACAAAATCTTTCTAGGATATAGGTTACCTGAGATGGGCGACCAGAGCCCAAAGGCAAAAAGGACATGGGAAATTTACAACATACTAGGTGAAATGAGGCAAAGATGCAACAACTTGAAGCAGAGGGCAAGTTACCAAAAGCGACACCAAAGAAGAAGAGAAGAGTAGAACAAAGTGAAAGTAGTGAAGAAGTAACTTCATCTAGTGAAAGTAGTGGCAATGAAGGAAAAAGAAGAGTTAAAACTCAGTCAGGAAGAAAGTAAAGCTTGGTCGAGTGGGTTCTATTATGACATATAAATCCAACTATTCTATATTTTTTACCCATATGAAATGTACGCCGCTCAGAATATAACGCCAACAGTTTTGGATGCCATGAACGGAAATGTTTCCGAATGGTATAACGAATGCGACAATGCCATTAGAAGGTCAGAAATAGTTCCTGGAACTTACAAATATACAACTGCTGTTTCTTATGGAAACGTAGGTGAGTTTGGAGAAGGTTCTTCAACAACAGTCGATATTGCTTGCGACAGGTTTCATATTATTTCTATTGACAACTCATTCTTATACGTGGAACAAGACATTGAAATAAAACCTTCTGCCAAGTTGTCTGACAAGAAAGGTTGCAATGGAATTTTCTATGTCGGATACCAATATGCTCCAGAAGTTTTCATGGGATATAAGATATATTCTAACTCTGACTTAGTTCAAACAGTAACATGGGCAAACTATGAATGGTTCGCTTTGAGAAACTCAGTACAACCACAAGCTAGAGAACAAACAGACCAGTATGCAACTATTGAAAAATAAGAAGACTTGACCCTAACGTTCCAGAGTTTATGTTAACATTTCTGGTTCAGATGGAACTGCTGCCACTAAAGTAAAACTGAAACTTAGAGTTCCTTTGTCATCTTTCCTCATCTTCAGGTTTTTAAGATACTTGCCAACTGGGCAGGAAAAATTTCTATCGAACTTACTCCAAGCAAAAATAACTTAGTCATTGCACCAACACAAGACCCATTCAGCATTACTGTAGCTGGAACTGGTGGAGCCAAGTTCTGTGACTTTTGCAAAGACAAAGTTGACTTAGACTTTGGTTTCTCAAACCTCAACACTGAAGTAAACTATTATTTCAATGCTGCTGGAGATGCTTGGGACCCAGTTAAGTTCACATGCGAACAGTTTGAATGCAAGAGAATAGAAAGCAGACTTGCCGTTTATATGTTGGACCCAGATATTTCAAATGCTTTAGCTGCCAAATATATTGCAGTTCCACTTATGTTCCCTATACACCAAATATCTGTCAAAGACTTTGCAGGTGAAGTTGGAAACCAAAGTGCTGACCCAGGTGCAAGAACAGATATTGCTTTAACAACTGCAATGAAACATGCAGATACTATGTTTGTACTGTTCAGACGAACTATAAATGACTATTCTTGTTTCTACAACCCTGGTATTAAATATCATATAAACATAGATGGTAAATATTATCCAAGAGAAGAATATTCTACAGTTGAGGATATGAGGTCATACAACTTGACATTAGATGCTATGAACTTTAACAACAACTTCACAACAACCATTAACCCTGAAATGCAAAGTTCTATTATGCCATATGTGAAAGTATGGACTCATACAGGAGGTCAAAAAACTCAATATACAAATGGAGACCGTTCAAACTTTTGGCTTGGCATTCCATTTGCTGACTCAGAAGACTTTATGGGTGGTATTTCAACTGTTGGTACAGTTCAAATACAATATACTGGTGACAGAGACAGTCCAGATGAATTGAGAGCAAAGAAGTTTACAAAACCAATAGCACTTTTCACGGAAGATGCTCTTTTGAAGATTCGTTCGATGAAACCTGCTGGGGCTCCTCAAATTGGCATAACGACAGCTTCCATCGAGTAGATTTTGGCAGCAGGTCAGTAAGTTGTTCTTGAATTGACTTCTCTCCGTCAAATATTGACAATACGCCAGTTTTGACATAATATTGTATTATAAACTTTTCTTTAGTAATATCGGTCAGTTTTGAAGTTATATTTTTGTCTGCTTCAAGAACTTTCACCATTTCAGTTATACCAACTTTCTTTGCTTTATGAAAATATTTTGGTTCAGCAAATATTGCTATTCTATAACATTTTCCATTGTTGTGTAAAGAACTATTCTGTCAATGTATTTGTATTGTTTGTGAGTATAAACTTTGTTCTGCTTCAATTCAATAAGATATCCGAATACGTCCATCTTTTTATTCTAAGTAAAATGTCATTTCCGAAAAATAGAAGCGTAAGTGTTTCAAAAGGTTTAATGGCGGTGGCAGATGTGAAGTTAAATTCACCAACTCAAACAAACAGTCAAAGTGTTGTTGTCAATGTCAAAGACAGAGATGTTGAAGTGGGGAAACCATACGAAGACGAAGATGGTATAACAATTGTTCCTGTAAAAGAACCAACATATCCTGAAGTTAGCAGAGACTTAAGTTCTGTTGCAGATATTCGAAATGACTACCAACAACTTAAAGACAAACTTCAAACTCAGGAGAAGATTTTGTCAAGCTTTAAGTATAATGTTAAACTTGGTCGAACACAACCCTGTAAAAGTGAACTCATATGTCATTGCACCTCATGAAGTTTTGAAAGAACTATTGAAACTTTTGACAGAGGCAGACGATATAAACATCAAAATAATAGAACCCGACATTAGTTGCTGTGGTGTTTCATATAATGTCATTGACAAGATATACGTTATGAAAGGAGGTGAAACGTTGAACTTAAAATATAGTTTCCCAGACGTTATAAAAATATTTGACGACCACAACATTTCATTAAAATTTAATTTGCTAAGTAAATGGCAGAAGACATAATGGTTTATACTATTACGACTAAAAACGCCTGAGTCATATAATTCTATAACAACAAACTTACAAAGTCCCTCAAGACGATATTGTAAATAAACCTTAAACACAATGACGACTAAAGCCTGTTTTGCTCTTTTGACACCAGAAGACTTTATTGTTGTGAATGGTAAAAAATACTCCTTTGAAGATACTTACTCAGATATACCACCAACAGGTTTTGTTGACTTATTTAATACTTTAAGTACGGGTGTAACATGTGCTGCAACTAGAGCAGGTTTCATTATGTTTGGATGTCCGACTGAGTTTACTATAAACGATATGAGCTATAATACAAAACTTATTTCTGGTTTTTACTACCAACAGTTTCCTATAACAGGAAAAGGTGTCATACAAGGAATGTCTATTCCATTGACATTAAGCACACCAATCTTATATATTGTTTCAAACTTAGGTTCAAAGTGTTATTCGAATGTCGACAGAAACTATTATGACCAAAAGATACTTATGCGTATAAACAATACTTTCTCTGCTGGTTTTGCCTATTGTTCATTCGAATGCAGAATTTTCAACCTTAGTGAACTCAAACACTTTGGCAAGTATAACGTTGACATTAGTTGACGCAAACTTTGTTCTTGTAAAACTTTTATGTCCTATGTATTTGTCAATGACGGCAGAAAGTTTCGAATTGGAAGATGCAACTGGTGAAGTATTGTATTACAAGAACAACTTCAACAACAAATAGCTCAAGAACAACAAATGCACAAATGGAACAACAAAGTCAAGAATAAAAAAATAATATTTTTTTTATTTTTTATAAAATATACAGAATAGATGTTTCAGATTTTTATGACTTCCAAGCATTCAGAAATATGTGTCCATTTAGAGACTATAACAAAGCAGTCGAGAATTTGAAAACGTTTAGTCATTTATGTTGACTCTGCCCCAGAATGTTATGTCATGAAAGAATGGGATGTTGTCTTTAACAAACCAAGGAGCAACAATAGTGTCCTGAAACAAGAATGTAGACAGAAACTTAAGAAAATAAAAGTTGTACAAGTTGGAATGAAGATGTTAGATGCTTGGGATATCTTATTGTCAAAGTTAGAAGATTTTTCAGTTCGTGGTATAAAGTTTTATACACCTTCTCCAAACTTCTATTCTATCTTCACTGGATATAAATATGAACAAGTAGAATGGAAACACAGTATTATAGAAGCTTGGTTAGACCATGTCAAAGAAATTATATGCAATGGAAACGAAAAGGTTTATGAGTATATCTTATGTTGGTTTGCAAACATCTTACAACATCCAAGTGCTAAAAAATGAAACTGCTCTCATTATAATTGGAAACAAGGAACTGGTAAGAAACACATTCTTTACAGATATCTTATGCAAACTGTTAGAAGGTTATTCGAACCCAATATGGCAAACTTAGAAAACATCTGTGGCAAGTTTAACTCCTCAATAGAGAATATAAAACTTATAGTTTGCAATGAACTTCAAAGTATAGATACAACAAAAGTTTTGAACTCAGATGCTTTGAAGAGTCTTATAACAGACAAAGTTGGAGTTGTTGAAAGAAAGTATAAAGACCAAAGAGTTTGTGAAAATGTTGCAAACTTCATTATGGTTTCAAACAATGCTGTTCCGATGAAGTTAGAAAGTTCTGACAGAAGATATGTAGTTGTCAGAACGTCAGATTCTCATATGCAAGATACAGAATATTTTGACGACTTAGCAGAAACTTTGACATCTGACTTTTACAACCACTTGTTCTCATATTTCATGACATTAGATATTTCTAAGTTCAATCCAAGACAAATTCCACATACAGAAGAGAGACAAACATTGTTAGAAGCAAACAAGAGTGTATATGAACTGTTCATAGAAGAAAGCGACTTTGTGTCATTAGATGAAAGGTCTTTATATGATGAATATAAACAATATTGTCAAGAATATGGTTATATGGCAGCTTCTAAACGAACATTCTTGGCAAATGTCAAAAGTCTTTTAGATGTTCAGAATGGTGTATATACAAAGAAAATTTTTTCTGAGTAAATTTTAAAAAAAAATATTTTTTTATCCGATAGAAAAGATGGCAAAATTCATCTCAGTAAATAAGTACATGTCAGGACTTAAAGAAGAACTAGACCCATTCACATATTTGAATGTTTACTTCTACCATTTTGAAAAGTCTTCATTCAGCAAAGTTTGGAACATCGAACCAGTTAAGTTTGCTGTTGTGACTAAAAATGGTGCGAAATTTGAAGACTTAGACATAGAAGGTTTGTTAACAGTCAAAGAAAGTTTTGACAGAAGGTTCTCAAACCTTAAAGAAGGCAAAGCATACAAACTTGTTATACCTTATGAATCAAAGAAGACAGACGACTATGAATACTATGAGTCTAAAGTTGTAGAAGTTCAAGGTAAATTGGGTAAAAAGATTTTAGAGTCTAAGCCAGTGTTTACTCCTAAAGAGGAAGAGAACATTGACATTGACCCAGAAATGTTCTAAAAATAAAATTTTATTTTTACATGTCAAATTTCTTTTTCTCTGGAACTGGTTCAGGTTCTTTCTTCTCTTCTTCTTTTTTCTCTTTCTTTTCTTTCTTCTTCTTTTCTGGTGGTGAGACGTCAAATTTCTCAGAACCATATTTATGTAAAAGTTCTTTGTCCTTTAATAGCTCATCTATTCTGTTTTCTATTTCATCTTCAAGAACAGCGCATGTGTCTTCTTTGCATTCTAAGAACTTGTTGGACTTCATCTTTCCAATCGGCGTCATTTCTGTCAACAAGTCTGTCATTGACAAATTTTAAGACTGCTCTTGTAATGTTTTATGGTTCTTGTCATATTCCCAGAAACAGAACTTTAGAACAATTCACCTTTCTTGTTTACACTATGTAAGATTTTATGGTCGACAGATGTTTTGCTGTCAAAAAGCTTGTCTCGAATATAGATAGCGAAATCGCTAGACATTTTCTAAAGATAAAAATTTTAATTTTTCTAAAAATATGTTAGAAAAAAAGTTCTGACATTGACAAAAATTTGAGAATGTTTTAAAACAAGAACAAGGTGAAGTTAGAAAATGCTCAGATAAAGCCTATACATGACAAGTTCTTATTTGCTCAGAATGGTATAACAGGTCAATTGCACCACCCGGGTCTGGTAAGACTTTCACTTATCTTAAAATGGCTGCACAACAACAAGAACTAGATGAGAAGAACCCATTTCTATGAGTTAGTTGTTATTTGTTCGACTTCTGGTCAATTTGACCAAACCGTCAATTCGTTCAAAAGATATATAAAGAAGTCTAAGTTAGTATGTATAAAGGATACTGAGTTGTTAGATGGATAAAGAAGTACCAAAGAAGAGTTTTGAAGTATAATGCTATAAATGAGTATATAAATTCTAAGTTTAAAGACCCAAATGAGGAAATGCAGAGAATATTAGAAGAAGAAACACTTCAGAAACAAACAGAAAGAGATAGAATACATTTCGAAGAAAGCAATCTTAATTGGAAGACTTACCCTCATAGATGTCTTCTTATCTTAGATGATTTCGCCTCTCATCCTTTGTTAAAAGAACAGAGAAAAAATATGTGTCGAATTCTTAAGAAACTTAGGCACTTTAACATCTCAGTTGTCATTTGTGTACAGACAGCAAAGAGTTTAAGTAAGGATGTTAAAAGAATACTTACTGACATTATCTTTTCCCCGGATTGTCCGAAGACGATTTCATGGAACTTATGAAAGAGTCCATGGCAGGTAAGTTTGACAGACATTGAACTATGGGAGAAGTATATAAGTCATACAAGACCCTCATACTTCTTTCAGAATTCATATCTACGCAAACAAAGTTCAAATTGTTAAAAAGTCAATAAAAATAAATGTTCCATCTACCCTACTTGTTTGAAGTTGTCAAAATACTCTGTTATTTTTTCTTTCAGTAGCGGTAAGTCTTCTTTGAAGGTAAGTATTGTACAACCTTTCATATCATAGTGTGTTTGAGGTAACGTATCTTGAACTATTTGTTTCACATCTTCATTTGGGGTCATTGAAATCGGTAAGTTTTCGCGATAGAACCAATTTCTGTCAGATTTGTAAATCTTAGCAAGGTTGTAAAAGCTTTTGTTGTTTCTTCTGACTAAATGCAACATAACCATATCTTTATCTTCTTCATTTTCCATCTCTTCAGTATATATCATATACTGATAGTTCTTTTCCTTTCCTTTTGGTACCGAACGTGGTATTCTTTTCTGAATGCTTTTGTCTTTTGCTTCAATGACTTCATCTTTTGCATGAAGTTTCTTTTCCATCTCTTCACGTTCTGCTTTATATAGTTCATCTAACATCATGAAAATATAACAAGCATAACGAGGTGAAGCCCACATTGCTACAGCATTTACTAAAAGTCTATGAACATAATAACCTTTCAAACCAGGAGCCAAATTCTTGCGATTTTCGTACGGAATCTCTTCCCCCGGTTTTCCGAGGGAAGCAATCATATGAGGAAATTCTTCTAAAAGTTCTTTTGTCTGTTGGTTTTCAAACCAATGATATGCTTGCTTTGTAGAACGAAGAGCATTCAAAATACTTTGCATTTGGTACATATCGTCTTTGACCGAACGAATGAGACGTAACTGTTTGTTATATTGTATGTATTCGTATTCTTCATTTATAGCTTCATGGACTATAACTGTTGTTGTGTTCTCTGTTGTTGACATATCTGTCTTTACATACAAAATAAAAAAATAAATAAAAATAAAACTAACTTTATTTTTTCTATCTTAAGGAAATTCATGATTTTTGTGCTGAATTCAATAAAAATATAATTTAGGTGAAGAGGTGAGATTTCACCTCTTTTTTCACCTCATTTCTACCCCAGTTATTTTATAAACGTTTTACATGGTAAACGTTATTTTTGGAATTTTGTGAAAACTCAACGGTTTGACACATGCCCTAAAAATTATTTTACTCAGAATTTTGTTGCTGAATTCAATAAAAATATATTTTAGGGTAGATGGTTAGATCTAACCCGATATCTACCCTCATTTCTACCCCAGTTATTTTATAAAAGTTTCACATGGTAAACGTTATGAATTCGTGAGACTCTAAACAGTTTTGTAGCTTCTATTTCTTCTTTTAGTACATCGAATGTTTTAACAATACCGAAAGTTTCTTTATACTTCTTCTTGACATCAGATAGAAGGAAATCGTCAGCAGTTGGATAGTTTTTGTTCAGAAATTCTAACATGTTCATTTTATCTTCTACCGGCTTCTCTGCTTCTTTCTTTAAGTCTGCATAGTCGTTTTGCATTCTTTCTATCTCTTTGACTGAGTAGTTATATTTCCTAATTGCTGCTTTACATTTAGAACATTGCGGGTTCATTTTTGCGTTATATTCTGAAACCTTACCTGCTAAAACAACAAAGGCGTCAATGGTTTTCTTTAAATCTGAAGCAGTTGGTTTTATCTGTTCATTCCATACCTTACCTCTTCTATCTTTATCTCTTATCTGCCATACACATTTTGCAGCTAATGAAACAAAGTTGTCGTATGTCTTAAACTCCCCAGATTTATATATGTCAGAGATGTTCTTATATACCATGTCGCAATCTTTGTCCATAACTTTATGGTTGCAATGAAAACCAAGGAATTCATAATTTACCTTTCGTATGAACTTCTTTATTTCTACTGAGTCAGTTGCTTTGACTTCAATTTCGTCGAATTCAGGAATAGTGAGCTTTTGCTGCTGAATTTCAGGTAGTTTAGGCAAATGGTCGATGAGGTCCTCCATTTCATAAAGATACTGTTCATTTGTTTCATCTTTCGCACTACAGTCTAAATTACTTGTTAAAAGTTCCTGCTTTATTCTTTGTATTTCTGTTTCGAAAGTAAATGAAGAAGGAATGAAGCTTTTCATTTCTACTAACATAGATGTTGGATTCATGACTAACGAGTTTGGTGCTGTTGTTTGAATTGTTGTTGTGCCGATTGTTGACATTTCTGTTCTTTTATACAAAATAAAAAAATAAATAAAAATAAAACTAACTTTATTTTTTCTATCTTAAGGAAATTCATGAAAATTCATGAGGGTAGAAATCGGGTTAGATCTAACCATCTACCCTAAACATTATTTTTGCTGAATTCAGCAACAAAATGAACGAGGTCAGGATGTATGTAAATACCTTTGAATTCATTCATAACACCCTTTGTAAGCTCATAAAATGCTTGTTTTGAGGTCAAGCCACTTTTGGCTCCACCGTATTCTTTCAACCAAAACTCAAGAATTTCCTGCATGAATTTTGTATAAAAAGCAACAGTCCGAATTCCGGCGGTTGCTATATTCTTCACAAAATGCCTTATAATACTCTTCCCAGGACTTATTTTCCAACAACTTTCTAAAGTCTTTCCTAAACTGACTGACTGACTGACTGACTGACGGCACAAAGTGGCTTAACGAAAACATTAATATATAAAATTCATGAAAATTCAAGAGGGTGAAAAAACAGGTGAAAAAACAGGTGAAAAAAGAGGTTAGATCTAACCATCTACCCTAAACATTATTTTTTGGTCCGGGAACAACTTTCTCTCAATTGGAGCTGTAGCATACTCTTTGCGTAAACGGTTCAGACCTTCTTCGAAGTCTTGGTCTCTCTTGGACTGAGATTGGAATTGGAATTGCTGGGGTGGGTAGTAACCTTGAGGTGGAAATTGGTAGTAATTCGGAGGTACTTGCTGGAACTGAGGTGCAGGGGCTGGTGCTTTAGGTTCCTCTGGTTTGGGAATGGACTCGGTTGGTGGTACGTCGGACATCCGTTTGTGTCCTGTCGGAAGGAAGAACTTTTCCTGTCGGAAGGAAATTTTTTTCCCTTTGTCCGGAAAATTTTTTCCTGTCGGATGGAAAATTTTTTCTAAAGTTCGACCAAAAAGTTCTCAATTTTCGAAAATTTGAATGGTTTACGGACGGACAACTGGAAGAGTTCTTCCTGTCGGAAGGAAAAATTTTTCCCTTTGTCCGGAAAATTTTTTCCTGTCGGATGGAAGAGTTCTTCCTGTCGGAAAGAAAAATTTTTCCCTTTGTCCGGAAAATTTTTTCCTGTCGGAAGGAAGAACTTGGAATGCAAGAAAGACTTGACGAGGCAATTTACCTCATTGAACTTAACGAGCTTGTTAAAGACTTCCTCAGGCAGAATGTAAAAGACAAGCTTGTTAACGGTTGGATAACGGGAAGGTCTACACTTCAGCTCGAGACTTCGACTGGAATTCCAATTCAAATACCAGACGGGACAGCCTACGATGGCATAAAGGACGCCAAAAGAGAAGCTCTTGTTAAGTTCCTAAACAAACGTCCTTGGATACTACTTCCAAACAGAGAGAACCCTTTCCCAAGAATGAACCAAATTCTCAAGGGTCTCCTTCATTTCTCTGGTCAGCCGTTCTACATAACCTCAGAAGGCGACATCCAACCAGTTCAGTAAACATCTCATTTTAACTCACTTTTTAAATGTTTTTTGTGAAAGTGTCAAAAATAAATTGTTTTCATGAGTTTTCTACGATGTTAGAAAAAATGTTATTTTCTAATATCTTCACATTCAATACTTTTTCAGCACTTTTCCGTAGTTATATATGAAAGACAATTCGAGATAAAAGTCATAGTACAATGGAATAATATGTTGCACACCATTTGTTGTGAACCAAACTTGAAAGTCAGAGAAACTGTTACTAGGTGGTTCGTAGAATTTAGAAGCAAAGTCATAAAGGTCCTTACCAATACATAGAAAACTATTGTTGCTTGAACTGAAACTTGCATGACACATAACATTTTGAGGGTCAAACACGTTTCTATAAACCATCAAATCTGCTGGTGGAAGTATAAATTTAAATGGACCATCTGGTGGTAATGGTTCGTTCTGGTTTAGTAACCGAAGAAATTGTGCCCAAGAACGTTTGTCTACTTCCCAAAATAAAAACTCTGTATCTCTTGGAGGGTTAATTTCAATCTTTTGAAATGAAACGGTGGAGTTCATCTTGTCATATTCTAGTTTCAGATAGTATGTTCCATTTAGTAAAGAGTCGTATTTTTCTTGAAATTCCCAATAATATTTGTTCATTTGAGTTTGAAAGTCATCTAGAGTTTTCTCAAGACTTTCGTCTGAACGAACTGTAAAGATTCTCATTTCGTCAAATTTGTCTATTAGACCATCAGGACCTTCATACTGCCCATGAAAATATACTGCGAACATAAATGCGTTAGTTCTATTTGAAAACAAAACTCTTCTAAATCCTATTGCCTTTGCATCTGAAGGACTTTGAAGCCAACGAATTGGATAGTCAAACCTGTATGCTCGGGATGAAATTTCTTCATCTGAAATAGTCCTACCAGCATTTGTAAAGATATAGTCTAACGGTTTTGTATCTGCTACTTTTGTTCTTTGTTTTTCAACCTGAAGCATTTAATATATGTAAAAATATATTGTTTTAAAATGGTATGCCATTTCATATTTCTCATCTAACAAACAAGTTTCCCAACGGTCTTCTCCAACAAACTCAGCGTACATTTCAAATAAAATTTAAAAAATGTCACTTTTTAAAAAAAAAATTTTTTATTTCATGCAATGTTTTATTTCTGTGCCGTCTTCAAGTATGCCCCAATATTTCCTTTTCGATATTACATGAACTTCGGAAAATACCTTATCTAGCTTAAAACAGCCCATCTTTTCACCGACTAAACCCATTTCAATGAGTTTGTTATAGCCTTCTTCGTTCGTCATGAGTGCGTCAATGTTCTCATAGTAAACCTTGACTTTGGATTTGACTTCGGAGAAGAATTTGTTGTAGTTGTCAAGTACTGCCTTTGCGAACTGAGGGTAAGACCAATGTTCGACAATAGGTTTTAATGTGGTTACTAAGCCACTTTGACCTTGAGTGAATTCGTACTTCAAAACAAAAGGAGAAAACCTTTCAACAAAGTTGTCGACCTTCTCATAATGTTTACTCTTCATCTCTTGAGGTTTCTTAATGGAATATCCCCATGTCGAATTCATAAGCAATTTGAGTGTCATTGCAAGTTTGGGGTTTGAAGCTTTCCTAATATCATACAGTTGTTGTATGACTTTTCCAACTGTATAGTTCCTTCCCGGGAACTCACCATCTTCGTTTGGAATTCCAGTCGGAATATATTGGACAAACCTCATGTATGCAGCGTTAAGGTCGACATAGTATATCTTTTCATCTGAGTCGAACTTGTCGCAACCAATTGGTCCAGTTTGTGGAAATTCAAGTGAGTCTCTTATCTTCTGAGAAACTTCTCCTGTTATCTCATAAACATCGTCGAAGCAACCTGTTTCATATAAAACCTTCTGACCTAACTCAGATGCTCTCCAATACAATTTGACGTCAATTGGATGTCTCAATGGAAGTTTGTTTATAGCATCTTGAAGTTCTTGCAACCTCATTGGAAGTTCTTCTGGTTCAGGTTGGTATCCGAACATACCAACTCCTTGTGGAACTGTGTACTTCTTTTGTACTAGAACTTTGTCTGGAACAACTTTTGGTCTTGCTAACAGTGAAAAGTTTGTTTCGTCTTTTGGTACAAAAGTTTCTGTCAGCTTGTCATCTGGAATTGGTTCCAACAAACCTTTCTCGAAAAGAATGTTTACAGCTCTGACAATGTTGCACTTACTTTTACCAAAGAATGGGTGTGTAAGACTTTTGTTCAACATGAAGTGGTTGTGGACAATTACAATCTTCAACCATGGTAAGTCTTTGACAACAACATAGTCGTCATGTGAAGAACCTTTAGCTGTAGGTATGTTGACTCGGATATTGACATTTGCCAACGGTGCAATTTTTGCCAATTGACCTCTGAGAATGTACCTTGTCTTCACACATGACTCAAGATACTTCATCTTCTCATCTGTAACAAGACCAGAGTTCCTGAGACATGTAAGAATACAAGGTTCATTGACAATTGTTTCAATTGAATTGTAAATTCCATACCTTGTCAAGTCAATGTCAGACTTATTTATGAACGGGAAGTATCCAGCATGTTGTCTGACTGCTTGAGGGTTAGGTTGGTACCATTCGAACTTGACACTTGCAATTCCTTCAATTGCATTCAAAATGTCTGAGTCGGAGTCAACCATTTGTTCTCTCTTTGTAGTCTTGAAAGCGTCAAGAAGTTTTGCGGCTGTTTGTTCATTGCCATGTGCATAGTAAATGTGACCATCCAAATCTGTTATGGTCAATCTGAGATTGTGTCCTTTCTTATTTCCGTCTTGAATTGCAGCAAGTACTCCCATGAAGCCTTCTTTGTTCTTTCCTTCGTCAAAGTTTACTGTAAAGGTTCGACCAGATGTAATTTGACTTCTAACTTCACGATACTTTTCATATGCATATCTTGTTCTTTCCATGGGAGCATGTGTGTCTTCACCTTTTCCTTTTTTCCTTCTCAAAGGATGCAATTGTTCGTCATGTTTCCAGTAGAATCTGGCAAAGCCGTCGTGTCCTTCAACTTGAGGTTCACTAACATCGAAAGGCATGTCCATAAGACGTTCTTCTTCTAACCTTCTAGTCTGTTTGGATAATTGGCACGTGCTGTTTCCAAATCCATTTCGTAGCGAAGACCAGACAATTTGTCATAGACTTTTATGGGTCTTCCCTTCCTATATTTAAAATTCTTCGAAACTCTCCAACCATATCTTTGTAACTCTGCTTTTATTCTAGCAGACTTTCTATCCATTCTATATGGGGGCATTTTTATAAAAATAAAAAAATATTTTTTTCTTTACTTTACATAACCGCCTGCTGCCATAAGTCTTTGACGCCAACCCATACCAGCTAATGAAGGTTGACTTGGTTTAGTTTGGAAACTAAACTTTGGTTTTGGTTTATCTTCAGTTTTTGGTTTTTCTTCTTCTATCGGTTTTTCGTCACTTTTCGGTTCCTCTGACTTTACTTCACTTGCAGGAACAGTTGTGTCGTCAACATCTTCATAAATATCATATGCCATTTGTTTTTGTTTTCCTTTCAACTTTTTGTGTTTGTTGTAAAGTTTAGAATATTTCGACTCTAAGTCAATGAGATGTTCTATAATGAACTGTTGGTCAGTGAAGTAAACTTTTCCATCTGTTGTCTCGAAAGCTCCTTCAGACTTCAATATTTTATTTGTGAGAGTCTGTTTCTTTTTTGAGATACTAGCCGTTCCATTTCTATGAAAAGTGACTTTGTAGTTAGGGTTTGTATTTCCAGACCTGGCACTTTCTATTATTGAATTTTTCTCTTCATCTGTAAGTTCTTTGACAGGTTTTGACAATGGTTCTGAACTTTTTGTTTGTGGTGTCAAATCTACCGTTTCAACTTCTTCGGTCATTTCATCTCAGTAAAAAATTTTAGTTTGGTTTGTTTTCAACTGGTTGTTTAGGTTTTTTAAGTCGGTCTAAAACTTCCTGAGGTATAGGAAGAACTTTACAAACACGTGGTGTAAAAGGTGGTCTTCCATGACTTATTCTGTTTAAAGCTGCATTGTTCATTTCATCTCAGTAAAAAAATTTAGTTTGGTTTGTTTTCAACTGGTTGTTTAGGTTTTTTAAGTCGGTCTAAAACTTCCTGAGGTATAGGAAGAACTTTACAAACACGTGGTGTAAATGCTGGAAGCCGACAAATCCATCTTGAACTCATTTGTCTCAATGCTGCATTGTTCATTTCATCTCAATAAAAAACTTTACATTCCCCACGTTTGAGGCGGTTGAGGTTGGTTATTGTTTACCCACTGTTGTGCATGGTTATATCCTCTGTTAAAGAATCTTTCACCT